TGATGTACAGAAGAGGCTCTTTCTGAAGAAAATAGCTATCCATGGAGAGGAGAGGCAGAGTGTGGGCAGGAGCTGAGGTCTCTGAGAGATCATGGGAAGGCAGGCCAAAGTCTGGGCTTCAGGAGTGGAGTGAACGCTGAAGGTACAGGATGCCCTGTCCGAGGACTTGCAGACAGAACTACCATCTTTGTCATGTAAATATGCCCTACGTGTTGCCCGGTGGATTGGTGGATTTGAAAATAATTCTAAGTCAGTTCTCCGTAAGTCTCTGGAATTCCCACTTAACATTCTGGTTTTGTTTTTGTTTTGCTTTGCTTTTGCTTAACTTACTATCAGTTGGTGTCTGTGTAATTATTTCTTTTGTTCTATCTGCCACCCTAATTCTACAGCACATGCTCCAGCTGTCATGCCCTCACCCGGGCCCCAAAAGCCCACCTTACAGGATGTTGAGAGAGGGCTCATGTGTGGAAAAGGCATTACAAACCCCAAAAAGCTATGCAATCAAGTCAGAAGACATTTTCTTTGATGGGTATTTTTCTAAAAACTGAGTCATCAAGCAAAAAGCGTCTCTGTAAATTTAAGGAAAGGTCTGAAAAATGCCATGGGCTTTGGGGAGTTTTTTCAGAGGTGGGTTCTAAGGCCTAATGAGAGGACTCGATGTGATGGTTTTACCACAGCTACACCTCAGAATCACGTGCAGACCTTTTCTATACCGGATGCCCAGGGGGCACCCAGGGCCCTGAATGGGACCAGGAATCGGTGTGCTAACCCCCTCAAGGTGACCCAGTTTGCACTGAGCCTGTAAGCCGGGGCTGGGGTCCGCTGAATGGTGTCAGCCTTCTAGGGGAGAAACTCCTCAGTAAGATGGAAGGTAAGAAGGGAGGAGGAAGAAGATTCAAAAGACAAGGAGGAGTGAATTTTTTAACATAGATACATGCCATCTGCTTAGAAAATGGTTTTTAAAATATTGAAAGCACCACAAGAGTGCAAGAGGAGGGTTATTTTAAAAATCAGGAAATTTTGGTATGCGTTCAAAGCAGCAGGTTAGATAAGAATCTTCTACAATGATTCTAGGAGCAACTGACAGCCTCACAGCCGGTGGGAAACAGGCTCCCTCTCACTGGAGACTGGGGCGGAAAGACCGTGTGGAAGAGTTTGCACCGCTAGTGAGATTGTCACGGGTTCACGAAGTCCTTTCTGACTTATGACAGGACTTGTGTGAACTGAAGGCCAATTTCCCTTTCTGGCAGAAACTTACAGAAGGTGCAGGTGGTTATGTAAAACTGCACTGATCTGCATTCTGCACTCAGCACATGCCAATGAGAAACCGTTTGTCTTTGACTACCCATGCTGGACAGCTGAAAGGAATGAAGTTTTTAAATAAATGTGGATTTGAATATATCTGCATATTCAGTCAACAAGGAAGTCTGGGTGAGGCCCTGCAGTCCAGGTGTCTGGGAGGCTGTCCCACAGAGTCTCCTGGGAGGACAAGGATGGGTGGGAAGCAAAGGAATGTCTTCAATCAGTCGTAATCACTGCAGGAGGGCAAACTGGGCTGGCACTGACCACCATGAGAGTCATTGGCCCAAAGTCTAGAAGGTTCTTTTTTATTGTTATTTGCTTGTTTTCTTTTATTGTTGCTAGAATAACAGCTGGGAATGCTGAGAGCAGTTCTGCGCCAGGCCACAAGAAGCAAGGCCAGGATTTCCCCTACGGCACACTTGCATTTCAACGTGGGGCAAAAGAAAAAGCTTCTTTAAGACTGTTGTTTGGGAACTTCCTTTGGTTTTATCTGGAACACAGCTTGGGCTTAGTCCTCACCTGGGTGCTCAGAGCTCAGAGCAAGCAGGATGAGCTCAGGACAGTTAGGATCAGAGGACTCTGCTGAGACCTGAACCAAGACCGAGACAGGCGGGCTTCCAGTAAGTACTACTTAGTGTGACTGGTCTGGGTTCTCCAGGCTGTGGTGACCTGGGAGCTTAATTAAGCAAGTTTGCGGTTATAAGGTTTTCCTTCATAATCGTTTTGGGCTGTGCATTCAGCAAGAAATTGGATCACTTGGTCCCATTTCATCAAATCCCAAATGACATTACAATGAACAGGTTTGGCAAAGATAGTAACGAGGGTCTCCTGAGTGAGATCAAAGGCTCCTTTTGTTTGAGGACAGTGGAAACAGAGCTATGAAAAGGTTCACTTCATCTTTCTTAGTGCAGAGTGGTCAGATACCAACTCTGAAGTTAGAATTCTGGCTCTGCTTCCTTTTAATGATTGATAAAAGGCAAATTGCTTAATCTTTCTTGTAACTGTTTCATCATGTATAAATGGCTTTTATATGATTGTAAAAATAAAATAAGCTTTATAGTATTGTTATTTGTATATTTATCAGATATGCCTCCCATGTTATGTTATATATGTAGTGTGATATCTATGAGAGTTCATATATATAACACATATTACAATTTCATCTATCTCATATAAGCAACATTTATAAAATAGTTTTTACATTGACATCTATAATAGATCTCACAGATATGTACATATCCTGATTTCACATACATGTTTCATATAGACAATATTAAATTCACATAGATACTCTGAAATATGTAGGGTGAAACCTAGAAAAAAAATATACACACATAGATATGAAATCAATTACAAACACTTTGCCTAGAAGGGCCTGGAACATACTAACTACTCAGTGAATGTTAGTCATTGTTAAACAGTCATAGGCGCAGCATAGCTGAGCTGAAGATTATCTAACATTGGCTGAGCACCTGTGAGACACAGAATATTCTTCACCACATGATCTCAAGTGATGCTGGCAGCAAGGCTAGGTAATTCATCAGCATCCACTGTACAGATGAAGAGACTGAGGCATGGGAGGCCAGGGGTGGTCTTAGGTCTTAGATCTAAAACCTAAGACCACATGCTCATACCTGATGAAAAGGCAGTGCAGTCTGCTTCTGCCTCTGCACTCTGAATAACCACAACCCGTTCTCTCCTCTGTCATCCAAGTATGGTGGGTCTGAGGAAGAGGAGTCACTACAGGTGACTCTGGAGACTTTCCCAGACAGTGGGAGGCCAGATGTGTCTTCCAGAGCGCTTGTCCCTACCTACCGCATGCAGAGGGGAGAGCTGTTTCGCGCAGTCCTGTGCACCGTGTGGCGCCTCGCAGCGGGGTTCCACAGGGAGCCCCGCACCAGAAGCAGTTACTTGTGAACCAAGCTACCTTAATGGGCCATCTGAGATACCAAAGCAATAATGTATGGAAAAATTGTGTTAACTGTAAAGACTTTTTATAAAGGATTCTTTTATGGAGAAGGAAAAATGTGGCTTCTTAACAAAAAGAGCTGGCAGAAAAGGTGCTGAGTTAAAGGAGGGCCTCAGGGCCCTCCCAGGTGGCGCAGCGGGTTAAAGCACAACACTAAGAAGCTTAAGCCACTTCTGCATGAGCTCGATCCCCGCCTGCCCCGGAGGTGACCACATGGCGCGGCAGACCTCCCCTGACCCACCCGCTGCTCCCCTCAGCAATGCACTTCGTCGATCTGCCTGTTCTGCTTCCCGCTCTGTCTCTGGTGAATCCTCTCACCCTCCGCATCTCTGGCCTGTATCCCAGTTCTATATGAAAAAATAAATAAATCTTTAAAAAAATAAAATCCCTTCCACTGGAAAGAACTTCATCGATTTCAGTCCAAGTCTAAGAACTTTTTTTTTTTCTTTTGGAGGGGTTAAGGTTTTAGGTGGTTGTCTTCCTTTTCCTTGTACAGATTGTTTTTCCCGGGAACAGAGCTTCCTCGATGACCTGGCACCTTTCCCAGATTTGCAACTTGCCCAGAGATCAGTGTGCCCTTCCCACCAGGGAGAGCCAAGAATGTCATTCTCCCAAGTCTACCTTAAATGCCCCAGCAAGGGCTTATTTGCTTTTATTTGTTGTTTATGTATTTGTTCCAATCATCCCTATTTTGATACAGGAATACTTCAATAGAGCAAACCTTTCCTTCATCAACAAAGGTGTAGTTCAGGGTCGCGAAAGCCCTCATCTATCTTCAAATAGCTCCCGGTGCTCTGACAAATTGCCCAAAATGTATTTACAGAACTTATGATCTTTCACCTTCAGACTTTCATCTTCGTTGGAAATTTAGATGATTAAAGAATTGCTGTGAGGCAAGCTTGCCATAGGAAAGCTGGAGAGGCGGACAGGAGGGGTGTGGCCATGCCAGAGGGCGGGGACTCACCCAGCCCATTGGAGAAAGCTATGCTGGAGTGCCCTGCCCAGTGCCTCCTCGGGTTTGTGAGGCTGTCCGGGCTCTACCCTGGCGGTGATTCTTTCCACTTTGATAGTCTTGCTAATTCAAGATAACAATGGCCACACATCATCCCTGGTTTCAAAGAACACACCTGCCCTGCAGCTCTATTTCTGACGGGATGTCCCCACAATACCTAACCCAGAGCCCCGTGACCACAGCATGGCCGGCAGCGCTGACAGGGAGTCGCCTCCCCTCAGATCAGCTTCCCATAACAAACCAGCAGTCCCCAGAGCCACAGCCCTGGCATGGGCCCTTGAGGTGACAGAGGAAGTTCAAGAACAGGGTGTGCTCTGGTCTTTGGATTCCCTTTAGGATTCCCACTGGAGAAAGAAGTTCCTTGGATGCAGAAGGGCTTATCTTTCTCAGCTGAGGGGGATACATAGCTTCCTCTCCCCTGTTCTAGTCTACCCTCCTCGGTGTGGCTTCTTCCCTCAGGGACTCCCCTGTCACAGTCACTTCTGAAGCAGGTCCCTCAGTCACGCTGGCCACACCTCACAGAACTGTCATCAGATGAGCACCAGCGGCGTGGGGACACCCCACACAGGGAGGTAGTCGGCCACTCTCAGCCTCGGAGCAATGTGGCTAGCTGCATCCTTGAATTCCGGGGTAGAGTGACCAGCCAGTGGAGCATGGCACTGTTTGGGGACTAACAAACTTTTAATCCTTCTTTTTGACAGGTGAGAACAGACTGCCATGTTGAAGCCCAGTCCTCAGAAGAGTCCAGATACCCAAGGGGCATACTCCCGAGAGGGAAAACCTTTTTTATTGATAATGACCAGCAGTTCCCATCACACTAACCATAAGATGGTTTCAGTGGGGTTGCCTGGCTTCTGAGACAATAATTTTTGGTGTGGAGAATGTAGCAGAGACAATATTGGATTTGGTTCATTGTTTTGTGAGCACTCAGTTATCTAGAAACGAGTCATTTTCTGATTTCCACAGACCAAATGTTCCATATGTTGTTGGAGGTGGTGCTAACAACAAACTATGGCCCACACCAGACTAGAAAATATTACTTCAATGTTATATAAAATTATCGCTTGGAGATAATTATTATTATGGATAGGATATTGTGGGCTTATTAGCTCAAGATGTATTGCACCTATTATTAGTAAGTCACTGTGCCTCATATTGCAGAGAAAATACCAATAGATTAGTGAGTCATTGCTCTCAATCAATTTATAGTTTCGTTGGCAAGTGAAGATAAACACACGCCAGTAACTGCTGAGAAGTTAAGATAAGCATACACCATCACACAGGAGCCCGAAGAAAAGGCCAAATGCTGTGGAGTCTGAAGAAGAAAAGGGACCTGAATAGTTAGAGCAATCTAGAGAGGTTTCATGGAGAAGGTTTCTGAGCTGGACCCAAAGAATATGTAGGGTTTTAAAGAAGAATGGAAAAGAGACCACATCTCAGTAAGAGAGATGGCATGAGCAAAAAGCAAGGAAGTTGTATAGAGGCAGCAAGTCTGAGAGTTTGGATATGGGTGGGATGGAGTGAGTAGAGGGTGAGGCTGCAGAGCTGTGGTTCCATCCTGAGCCAGACGTGGGCCTCACATGCCAGGCCACCCTTGGAGTGTGCTGAGCACATGAGTGGCATGGTCAGATTTGCTTTTGAGATTGGGCATGTTTTATTCGAAATAAGTTTATCTGCTATAATAGACATGCAATAAACTATATAATTATATGCATCATTTAAGTTTTGATTTGGGTATATGCCCAGACATTTATCCCCACAATCAAAAAAATGAACACAGGAATCACCTCCCAATGTTTTCTTGTGCTAATGGTAATCTTTCTGTCCAGCACCGAAGTTCACTCTCTGTTGTTCAGTTTCCTGTCAAAGTTAATTTGTATTTACTAGATGTCTGCATACATGAAATCATATAACATGTACATTCATTTGGCTTCTTTTACTCCGCATAATTCTTTTGAGTTTCATCCATGTTTTTGCATGTATCTTTAGTTCATCCCTCTTTCATGCTTGAATAATATTCCCATATTCCCAGTTCTGCTCCCCACTCTGTCTCTGGTGAAGCCTCTTGCTGCCCCTGAACCTCAGAACTGTAACACAGTTCTGAATGAGCAAATAAATAAATCTTTAAAAAAAATAAGTTAAGATGATTCAAGAGCTCTAGGTAGAAGGTTAGATCGATGTTGATATCATCAAGTAATATAAGGCACCTGGGAGAAGCAGAAGAAAGAAATAAATATATAGAAAATCTAGATAGAACTGTTTAGGTTATATACAAAAATTGTATATGCTGGAGTGAAAGTACTCAAACTGCTGTACACATAGTCTTGATTCAGTCATCTATGTTTGGGCATTTGGGTTGTTTCCATATCTGAACTATTATAAATAGTACTGCAATAAACATAGGGGTGCAGTTATCTTTTCGAATTAGTGTTTTTGTGTCTTTTGGGTAGATCCCTAGGACTGACATTGCAGGGTCATATGGTAACTCCACTTTTAGCAGTCTGAGGAATATCCACTCAACTTTTCACAATGGCTGGACCATGGACCAGTTTGCATTCCCTAGAGCAGTGTAGGAGACTTCCTTTTCTTCCACATCCTCCTCACCAACATTTGTTGTTTCCTGCTTTTTTTTTTTTTTAAGATTTATTTATTTATTTGTGCATACAGAACTGAGGTACACATCAGAGGTGCAGGGGTGGTGAGAGGATCTAGCAGACACAGAGTGGGGAACAGAACAGGCATTACCGAGGGGAGCAGTGGGTGGGCCAGGAGAGGTCTGCCGCACCATATGGGTCACCTCCAGGGCTGGAGATCGAACTTGCACTAAAGTGGCTGCGGCTAGCTTGCAGTGCTGCGTCCTTACCCCTTGCACCACCAAGGAGGGTCGTTTCCTGTGTTTATTTAGCATGAGCCATTCTCACTGCTGTAAGGTGGTATCTCATTGTGGCTTTTAATTTGCATTGCTCTGATTATAAGTGATGTTTTTGTCCACTGCTTTAAAAAAATGAAAGTTCTACCATGGTCTGTAGCCTCCCAGGCCCTGCAGGGCTCACCTCCAGCCTTATCTTGAAGCACCCTTACACTCCTTCATACATTCCACTCACTCAGGGCTCTCATTCTCCTCCTCCAACACACCAAAGCATTTCCTAGCATTGGGTCTTTATGCTGTTTCTTCTGCCTCCCCAACAATGTATAGAGCTGGGTTGGAGGAGTCCCCTTGACTCCTCTACTGAAAGTTGACTCCCTGGCACCTCAAGCTCAGAATGTTGGCTGTCTCTTCATGGGTACAGGTCACAGTCCACAGGTATCTTGCCTGTTTATTTACTTTTTCACTTATCATCCATTTTCTGCTCACCCTTTGATGGCATGAAAGACCTCATCACAGTAGCTCATTCTAAGCCCAGAATTCTAAGCTCATTCTAAGAAATACTTCAGTATTTCTCCAGAGTATTTCTACTAAGTATTTCAACCAATACTTTGTAATGGTTATTCATCACAGCCAGAATTAATTTGCTCTTTGTAGTAATCAGTGCATCTGAGTTTGCCTTAATGCAGCAGGAAGGAAGTCACAATGTTTCTGGCCTGTTTCCTATTGAAGTGGCTGGTTACCGATTACTTCTTAAATTCAGGTGAAGATGGCCAAGTTGCCCATTGGGGGTATTCTTCCTCAATACAAGATCTTGGGGAAACTCAGTGCCGTCATTGTGGTCAACAAGTGTCATTAGGCTTTTTTGCCCAACACTGGTTGCCAGTGTGAAGTCAGGGGTCACTCTGGGAGACACAAACCTAGGCTGCATCTCTGCTGACAGTTACTTTAAGATCTTACTAATTCTATGGAAAGCCATAGGATACTTCTAAGATCAAATTTTCATAAAATAGCTACATCTAATAACCCCCCTAAAGATACTACTGCCAAAGAGCATTTGTATTATAGGCAGAGTAGAGATTGGCTTATTCTGCAAGTGACAAAGTCTAAAGTTTCCACTATTATTAGTAATACTAACGTTCAGTGAGCCCTACTGTGTGCTTGAAGTTTCCAAGCATTTACTACTTCAGTGCTCACCATGGAGCTATGAAATCAGCACTATTGTTTCCAGCTGAAGAGACTGAGGCAAATTTAGTGAGTCAAGTTGCTCTATACATATTTATTTAATAACTGAGTCCATGATTTTCCCAGGGACCACAATTGAAACTTTGGGCTATCTTGTTTCTGTCTTTCTTCCCTTTTTATGGCTAGGGGAGTGTGGGGTCTGGTGGATGAACAGGCAGAGTTGTGGCAGAAGCAAAGGATGGCAAGGAGAGAAGCTGAGCTCGCTGTCTGAGAATCACTGGACCCGGCATAATGACCCCATCAGCTAATCCTGATTCTGTTTTCACTTAAAGAAACTCTAATTTAGAAAAGGCTGTTTATTTTTTTTCTAGAACCATGGATGAGCTACAATCACAGCTTGTTGTGAAAGCAAAGCCAGGCTCTTAAAAAAGAAAACACACACACACACACACATTTTATTTTAAAAGTATTTGTTGTGTTTTCTAAATAACGAAGTATTTAATAAAAGTAGTACATATGTTGTGCAGACATGTTGTAAAATATAGAAAAATCAAAAGCATCAGCAAAGCAGTGAATATTTTAATGTGCTACTTTTTCACCTCCTTAGCAGCAGGACTTTGCTTTTTGTTTGCTCAGCCAGAGGGCAAAGCAGAATTATCTTTCTTCTGCGTCTGGTGCTTCAGCCAGAACAGAGACAAACCTTTGCTCACATCAAGGACATGCTCCAGAAACAGGTCCAGACAGGTGTCAGCTGAATGGATGTCACCTGGGGGTGAATAAGAATCACAAGCTTGGTCTTTTGGTTCCTTTATTTTTCCAGGCCTATTATCAATGTTCTTTTCTATAACAGAATTATTTGAAGACCTTTCCAGAGGTAAACAGTGTTTTTCATCTGAAGCAGTTCTTTTCTCAGAAATTTACAGAGAATAGACTGAGTCCTTCATTTTCTTTTATTAGGCAAAAAATGTGCATTTTCTTATGAAAATGTAATCTGCAGACAACATTTCTTTATAAAATCACCACCTAGCCAGCTTTTCTTCTCTGCGGTAAGAATTCACTACCATGTAACTGGCCTCCACCAGCCTCAACCCTTTCTCATGCTTTGCAATTTAGTTGAGAGGCAAATGTTTTCATTTTTCAGGCCTCTTAGAAAAGGCGGATTTTCATTCTGTCCAAGAGTGGGAAGAGCTATAGTCTTTCCGGTTACAAAGATCATGGGCATTGTGGCATCATTGAAATTGATCGGTGTGTATTCAATGGAGAAAATCTTTATAACAACAAATACTAGCACATCAGTGTTAACAAGTTACATGCAAATTGAAATTTAAAACATTGATGAAAGAGATAGGGCTTCACATTTACAGTGTTTATTGCTGGAAAAAGAGCTAAAGTAGGGAACATTTTGAGTAAAAGTGAAGTACTCATTTCATATTGTATAGGATAGTCAATAATTTGTTATAGGTATTCAGCTAGAAGGACTTTTAATTTCTAGATGACAAGGCAGATAAACTTATCTCATAAAGCTAAAATAGATTATATATATAATCTACTATATAAATATTATATATAATACATAATATATTATTATATTATAAATATTATATAAATATTATCTATCTATCTATCTATCTATCTATCTATATATTTGGCTTTACTGTTCTTTAAGAAATGAATTTAAAAATTTTGGAAAACACAATTTGTGAAACCAAGAATCAACTATAATAGGAACTATGGATTTAAATTTTAGGCTGAAACAAGATTTTCAATGATGAACCAGATCTAAATTTACTTTCTAAAATGTTTGGATAATCTTCAAAACAATGACCAAGCAGATCTAAATTTGTGTTCAACTGAGTTCTACTATAAAGCATTCATTGTCTTCCTAATTTTGTATCTGTCTCTATTGAATATTGTATCCAACAGAAATTCCACTGGAGAAGTTGGCACAAAAGGCCAGGAAACATTGGGAGCTGTGCAGAGGATGGTTAAGTGCCAGCCTGCGGAGGTGATGTCCATTAGAACCACTCAGAGGGAATATTTCCTCACTGGCTCTGACTGGTGAGCAGTAAGATGTGGGATGCCTCCTTTGTACAAAATGAAATACAAACAAACAAAAAACAAATTCAAACCAATAAATCACAAGCCTATGAACACCATCTTGGCAGTCTACATTATTTGCTGAAACACCTTCAAAAGTCACAGTATTCATTGCCTGGGCTGTCATAGCAAAGTATGGCAGATGGGATGACTTAGAACAGCAGATTGTATTGTCTCACAGTTCTGGAAGCCAAGAGTCCAGAATCAAGGCCCGGGTGCCCCGAAGATGCCAGGGAAGATCTGATCCAGGTCTGTGTCCTAGCTCTGGTGTTCCCAAGGCTGGTAACTGCCTCGGTCCTGTCTTTCATGCCATTCTCCCTGTGTGCATCTCTGGGCACCCAAATTTACCTTTTTAATGAGCACAAGTGGTCCTATGGGGTTAAGAATCCACCCTGCTCCAGTGTGACGTGTTCTAACTAATTAGATGTGAGACAATCCAGGCCGATCTCCCATTAAGATCTGTAGTACTGAGAGTTAGACCTTCTGGTGCTAACAGAGGTGTCTGAAGTTGTCTTTCCACCAGAGAATCTGCTTGACAGGGAGGCTGAGCTGGGGGAGGACGCTGTGGAGAGGAGGTAACAAGTGTGAAACCCAAAGTCCGAGGAGCCCGGATCTGCTTCAGATCAGTCCAAAGGCCAAAAGCTTCCTCCTAAATTGCCATGACAGTCCACAGCCAAGATCTGATGTATATGAATTTGTTCAACCCCACGCTCCCCACAGCAAGCACTTCCTAAAGGGAGGCACCTCCATGCACCACACAACATGGCGCTGACAGGTTAAGGAGCTCACTTGAGACCACAAAAGAAATCAGTGTCAGAGCCCAAAGCTCCGAGACCTGTGATTACCACTGTTATTTTCTACCTTTCTTCCCCTTCCTCTGTGCCTGCCTCACAAAAGTGGCATGAGGGTTAATTCCAGTGTGCGGCTGTGGAGGTGGTGGGGAGCTGGTGGGTCATTTGAACTACTTAGGAAAAAAATCCAATTTCCCTGCTCCCTGCTCCCACTGCCTGTTCCAGCCTTAATAAAAGAATCCTTCTCTGGATCAAAAGAAGCGCGGGTGCTATTGTTACCACACGCCAGCTGAAAGTTTATTCCTATCAACAGGGAGAGGATTAAAGACTGGGTTTTCCTCATCTCGTCATTTTGCTGGGGTTTAAAAGCAGCACAGTGGAATCCAGAGATGACTGTCTCACTAATGAAACAGCAGGGCACCCGAACACCTCTGACACATGGGAACAATGGAGCTCTTTCCCTCCCTTAGCAACTGGCATCTGTACAAGGAATAAATAAGTGAGAAACTGGATGTCTTTGTTATTTCTGTGATTAATAATAGGAAAGAATACTTCTGCGTTTTGCAAGAGAATTAAAACACAGACACTTCAGGTTTCATGATTGGGGTAGGAAGAGTAAAAGTGGCATTTAGTGAATAGCAGCTGAAGCTATAGTATTACCTAGCATTGTTCTTCAAGGTATGGAACAGCTATCTTTGGGGTGACGAAATCTTGCGTGGTTTTCTTTACAAAGGCTTTTCATTCCTTGTACTCTTGCTAGTAGCTTTAGATTTTCCATTTATTTCTTAAGAATCTTTGTTAATTTACATAAATCTTTTTCGACAATAGACCTTTATAAATGAAACATTGTTTTCTAGGTATTGTTTCAACAACCTTTCTAGCTTGTTCTATGCTTACAACAAAAGTAAAATGCAAGGAAAAGGAAATAACTCTACAAGTAGACTCAAGTGATTAGAGCAAGTGATTAGATCACAGGGAGGTTGGTGAAATGGAGGCATCTATGAGCCAGATGAGAGTCTTGCTTGGAAATGAGAGACAGGGAGAAAGAGCCAAGAGAGAGATAAACTCATGTTTTAGTGAGAATGTTGATCATGACAGACAGGAGACAGGGAGCTCAGTGACTATCAGTTGCCTCATTCCAGACAATAGATGAACTGTACCTGATTCCGCTCTTCTTCCTTCATAAGCTAGAGACACTCTCGCTGAATAATAAAAGGTTCACTTCAGACTCCAGCCTTCTCTTCAGAGTCCTTCCAGCATCCCGGAAGTTGCCAGTGCCTTCTCACCACAAAATAATCTTCCAGACATGGTAATCAGACTCCCCTCATTCTCTCAGGACTTCACTCCTGGGAGTCAGCTAATGCTGCAAAAGCCTTCACAATGTACTTGAGGTCTTTCTCAAAGCGTCCCACCCAGGAAGTGATTAGTCATTGTCTTCTATTTAATCTGATGGACTTAGTGCTTGCCCTGCCTGCCACACAAGATCATTGCACCTGGTGGCTACCCTGAGTGCGCCAGATGTAGATTCCCCCAGGTAAACAAAAGCCAGGTGAGCAGCCTTTCCTTTCTTTCACACACAGGACACAGATCCCTCAGTACAGAGACTTCCAGAATCACACTTGATTTCCTGCCCTACCCGTTCATTCCTCAGCCAAGGCAGGGATTACTCAAATCAGCCTTGTAGGTCTGTCACTTCAGACTTCATCTTCATTTCTAGTGAGGTGCAGCTAGGGAGGGAAACTATGGTAACTCTGCCCTTGAATGTGACTTAATAGTACTCCCAGCCTTTCAACTCTTTCAGATTTACAAACCTCCAAACTTTGATATTATTAATATCTGGGCTCGTGTTTTTCTCCTGCTATAGAAATTTTTTAGTCCCTTAGAAGATATTTCCCCTCTCTGTGGACACAACACACATCTAACTGTGTAACAGGCTTTGGTTTTATCTAGTTGAGAGCTCTCCAGTGATTTAAAAGGCTTTTGGTAGTGTATCAAACACTGAGCCAAACACCCTGTTTAGTGTCTTTTAGAATGGTGGGAAGAAGCAGGTCAAGGAAGACTAACTCAAGCCAGTAAATGTCTTTTGCTTTTCACTCATGACAAACCCTTTTCTCCCCACATGTAAGTTATTGGTTGTCTTGCATTTGCACACTATGTGTTACAATCCAGGGATTATTCTGTAAACTCCAGTTAAGAGTACATTTGCCTTTGGGTTTTGTTTTTGTCCTGGTTGTTGAAATGAAGTGGGTTCTTCATTCATAAAAGCCAAGGTCTGGCTCCATAAGCTTGCAGTACAACCAAAGTTCTATTTTTTTTTTTTTTTAATCACTTTCCTTCAAGGACTTCCTAAGGAGTGTTTGGGGTCTTTGCAAAGCTCTCTGCCCTAAGGCATTGCTCTTAGAAGGAGCAAACTGTATTCATGAACATTTTCCTGCCATTCAAAACAACAACTTTAGTAGATTCTCTTGAGGGAAGGGAAGGCAGTAATTGGTTGAACCTAGATCACCTTGAAGCCTATAATTCACGCCATCACATGGTCAATGCTACCCATCTGCATGGCTATGGGAACACTAGAAAAATGTGAGTAGAACACAAAAGGGGAATATCGAGCAGGGAGAGGAGGAGAGGAAAGGTATGGTGCCTGCAGGCACGTGGAGCCAGTGAAGTGCCTTGACACTTCATTCTCGAGCTAACTACCTTTTCAGATGCCATGTGGAAATGAGAGGGTGGAGGATTCTGCAGCAGAGCTTAATGACTTCAATACCACCCTCCAGAGGGAACCACTTGATCTGAGTTCCAGCTTCCAGTGGTGGAAAAATGCCTAAAAGATGGGCTTATCTTCATGAGGCAAGTTCAAGGTGATTTTGGGATTACCATAAGAGATTTTGTAACCTTCTCAACTCAGTTAATCTATACTGGCTTTTGCAGAAAGCATATAGTTTAATTTCATATCCCACAAAGAAAAAGCATTAATTTTTTTAAGTTTATTTTTACATCATTTTGTACATTTTTTTTT